ATCGGTAATCCAGTATTCATTATCCAATCATATCCAGCTAATATTTCATTATCTGAAAGATAACAGATAGTATCACCACATGCATTCAATGTAAAGTTCCATTGTGCTTCATCACATGAATACAATATAGTAGTACCCAGATAAAAAATAACTGGATAAATAATACAGAACAGAAGTGGTAGATAGTATAGAAGATAACGTTTGAAACGTATATGTAATAGATTTGGTTGAAAGATCAGTGTATGTCGTTGAACAGATATGATGGCTACTAAAAATTCATTTGCGGCATCAAGAGTAGACTCAATATACATCCAAGTTTTACAATATGTGCCTGTTGCTGGACTAACACGATTGAGACGAAGAAAATTCAGAAGTATTGGTATATTAAGTGATAATTGAGTAAAATTAACCATAAATAAGATTAATAAAGCTTGGTTTTGTAGTTTATTTAAATATTGACGATTAGTAATGAAGAATGTAAAAATGAGAAGAAAAAGAGTAATGGCTGAAATTTCCAGTATAAGAACAATGAAAAATTTGATGCTATGGATAAGATGGCCATTATTTGCTAATTCTTCCATCCTGTTAATGGTTAGCTGTAGAATCAAAAAGAAGCAGTCGTATGCTTCTTAGAGTAATTTTATAATAATAATAAAGTCTTATTTCTGACGTGCTTGCTTTGTACTTTTATTTCTTCACCTCTTTTTTGTTATCTTTTCTTAACTCTATATATAGACTTGTCTCTTCGATAGCGGAAGCTAGACCTTAAGAATTTCGTATACTAATGGGAATCATTAGTATATAAAATTTAGCAATACTCTACCAGGCATTTTTATCTTATTATTTGAATATATGCTAGATTTTGTGAGACGAAAGGCTAATTTCAATATCGCTCCAATACATGTCATACAAAGATGACTGAAATAGATAATATCAATATTAAAACAAAAATCTGTATGCATCTAGGTATATCGATATTATTCAATAATACTAAAGGGCAATGAGATTATAGATTAGTTTTTTTGTCTCTCTCTTAATCAATATTGTTATTAAGATATCATCACTATTATTGAATTATGAACATCGATATTCAAGCAAAATTTTTAAACTATCATCTAAGTAATATACATATTTATTAATATAAACAATATATCGATAGTTCTCTGATCATAAGTCTTTAGGCTGTAGGTCTAATCGTATTTTGTCGAGTTGTTATATGCTTGAATCGCTTTAACATCCATTTATGAAAATCAGGAAGTAATCCAAGAGACATCCATGGCATTAATAGACAATTCAAATATGTAAGATCTGATATGAAATCTTCTTGAATTCCATATAAATAATTCGATGGACATATCTGTTGCATTATACCAGTAATAATGGTAGGTAACCATGTTAATAAATAAAGACTTGATATACTAACTAGTTGCAATGTCATACGTCGTTGTTTCGACCATGAAACGGTTTTTTGTCTACGAGATTTTTGTTTAACTACTCTTATGATGAGTAATAAATTAGCCAACATTATAAGAATAATTGGTAAGCCACTATTCACTATCCAATCGTATGTAGCCAATACTTCACTACCTGATAGAAAACAAATTGTATCACCACACATGTTCAATGTGAAGTTCCATTGTGCAGGATCACATGGATAGAATACAACAGCACCCATGTAAAAACTAACCGGATAAATAATGCAACATAGAAGTGGTAAATAGTATAGGAGATAACGTTTGAAACGTATAATAAATAGATTTGGTCGAAAGACTAGTGTATGTCGTTGAATAGACATGACAGCTACTAAATAATTAGTTACTGCTTCAAGAGTGAATTCAATATACATCCAAGTTTTACAATATGTATCTGTTGCTGGACTAATGCCGTTGAGTTGAAGAAAATGTATGACCATCGGTATATTAATTAATAGCTGAATAAAATTAAAAATGAATAAGATTAATAGTGCTTGATATTGTAGTTTACGTAGTTGAATAGAATTAATCGCAAAGAATGTAAAAATAAATAGAAAAAGAATAATTGCTGGAATTTGTAAGAAGAGAACTATGTAGAATTTAACATCATATATAAGATCTTGATCGGTTCTTGTTATGACTAGCATCTTATTGAAAATAGAACTTGAGATAGAAATGAAAGGTAAAAACTATCTTGTAATATTCTCTAATATTAATAATATTATTCTCGCGATGATACTTTCACATCGTTTTTTCCTTTCATATTCTTTCTTTTTTTAAAGTCTGTCTCTCTTTCTATATATATACTTGTCTCATTTGTGTTAGAACATGACCGGAAAATAAAGTACTTTTATAACAAATACTATAACTGTGACTGATAAGGATCATCCTTGAATATGTTCTATTTAATTACTGCAATTATTTTCAAGATACCTTTTTGAAAGCATGATTTAACTAGAATACATAATTGGTATTCACTAATGAAGATGAAAATATTGATGTATTGTGTACTTTACCAGATCTGATGACAAGTATTTATATTTATAGTTTTATTCTGTCGATCCAGGCTCTTCTACAAATACTATTCATTTCTCTTTAATTTTGAAATGCATCTTTATCTAGTCCCTTCCAAATTTTAATCCTAGTGCTTAGAGCATCTAAAAACTTAGCTTATTAGTCGACGTTTTGTTCTCTTATCTTTTCAAATTCTTGATTTTGTTGGTTATCAGTCAAAATTCTCGACTGAAAAATTAGATCTGAACATTCTTTTAGAATTCTTACCTGAGTGTGGATGTAGCTTGGATAGATGTTTGTTGTTCTTATCACACCCACACTCCTTTTTGTGTGTCAATAAAGAGTGCGAGTGTCAATGTCGATAGGTGTGATTGATAAATGGAACAGTTGCATCTACCCCCTTATTCACACCACACGTACTCACATCCACACTCACACGCTTCATAGAATTACTTGTCAATCCAATTTATCATATATAATTAAAATAATTCAATATTAATACGTGACAAAACGGAATATATCTTCTAAAGACGCCCAACAAAATCAAAAAATAAATATTTACGTGATTTTTTTCCCATTAATTTATGCCGATTCTATAATTAAAAAATCTTTTTCAGTATGTAATTTTTATACTAGTTCATACAAAATATTAGTTAAACAAAAAACATCATTGTTACTCTAAATGATCTTAAAACAATAAAAATGAATGCTAATGTATTTATTAAAAGTACAGTATAATTTTTACATGAATATTTATAATACTCTGTATGTAATTATTTTCTTTGAAGGTGACGGCATTCTGTTTGGTCTACACATTCACATCCATTCTCATCCCTTAAATATTTTTAGATTTGTTTGTCAACAGTACATTCAGTTGAGAGAAATTATTTTTTTAAAATATTATTATTAAATGATAGATCACAGCAAAGGATGTGAGTGTGTGTGTGAATGAGGATATAGGTATGAAGATCGATGAAGTAAAGTGAAGACACACACACTCAAGGAAAATATCATCCGATGACAATAAGAACTTGAGTTTTTAAGAAAAATCAATTTCATTCTCCGATAATCTGCGGAGTAACATAACTGAAATCAAAGAAGAAAAGTATGTCTTTTGGTTCCTGGTGGTTGTTGAAGGTATTAGTTGACATAGGTGTCGGTTTTCAATCACTCGATACGCATACCTATACCTCATTTTTGATATTCTATACAAGTCTTAAACATTGTTGAACATGTGTATACGGAATAACTGAAATATACAATATACGCATACTCTTAACACAATTCCTCAATGCGATGACTAATATTCTCTCTTTGTTTCTTTCATATAAACACTTGATACACTGAATCACTAATGTAATCAAATCAAAATAGTATTTATATAGTGATAAATCATTGAATTGATCGAACGAAAGAAACAACTAATAAAATGTGGATATGGTAATTCTTGAGAGCTCAAGATGATTCTTTCTCTTGAGGATAAATGCATGTGGTTGTAAGAATACGATAACATTCATACTGATACTCCCACTCTCAAAATATGCATTTGTAAATACCACATGCATTCTATTTCTCTCTACTAGATATTCTCAAAGAAAAAAGATATCAACTACGATACCTTATAATAAACATAGAATATGAATGTTTTACTTAATAACTCATTCTAGATTTTATTTCTTTAACAACTGAGTAAAGAGTTTTTCTAGTGAAGTAGATGATAATTAAAGATATAAAACGGAAATTATATTCTACTTATTTATTTTATTTTATTTTATTTTTCTCAACTAATTATCATTGTGCAATAGTCACTATAAAAGTTAGTTGATATAACAATATCACATTTTATTTTTATTTCTACTAAGGTAATTAACTCACTGAAATTAACAACATTAAGTAAGAATCATTTTATTTTCTTAAAAAATATACTTGCAGAAATTTAGTTCGACTTAATTTTTCAATACTTTCTTTAATCATTGTTGTGTAATAGTAGTCAGTTTTCCATCGCTATGAATATATCTTGAAGAAGATAAAACATCATTTTCGTAAATATTGTTTTAACAAATATATTTATCTATCAAGAGATTAACCGTAATCATTTAGAATAACTTCTTACATAAACTTGAATATTAACTCTTACATTATCACCATCATTTTTATATTCTAATTTTGATTACGATGAAAAGTAAAACTAAGAAATCATTGAGATTTTTATGTATTATATAATTAGGTTGAAACAGTTTATTCAATATTTAGTTGAACGTCACAACATACATAAACAAATTTTTTATCTCATTATACTTATTTTTCAGTTGAGTGTTTTAATAAGTAGAAAGAAGATGTTTCCTATTACCTAAAACATATTATTTATGAGATATTTTTGAGTAAACTCATACTTTTTTCAACTTTAATATTTAATCGAAATTTTCACGGAAGTTCTTCAGTCAAGTGTTTATATAATGATGATAAATAATACGTATAAAACAAATTTTCTGTATTATTTAGAGATCAATTTCAATGATGAATTCATATATGAAACAACTGCATTTAGCAATTATATATTTAATACTGTAAACAATGATTGATGTTATAAAATAATCATATTACTAGATATTCTTATTTAGATTTTCGATTGAAAAATGTCTCACATTGAATATATGTCCAACGGCGATTTGGCAGAATAATGCAACAACAATTGTTGATTCAACAAATCTTAACAGTCCTAGAGATGTATTTATTGGCCAAAATAATATTATGTATGTCATAGATACTGGAAATTATTGTGTAAAACGTTTTTCTCCAAATTCAACTATTGGAACAATATTTATTAATGGTACTAATGGACCATTATTCAATCAATTGTCCTACTGTAATTTTTTTTTGTTAGTAATTAATATTTGAATTTTATTTATTTTAGTCTCTGCTGTTAGTGGCGATCTGAATGGAAGTATCTATATTCTTGATAGAGGTAATACTCGTGTGACTAAATGGACATCTGATGGTATAAATGGAATAGTCGTTGCTGGAGGAAATGTAACTGGTAATGCTGCAAATCAATTGAATTATCCTTCTGGAATATTTCTTGATGTAAATACATTATTTATTTGGATAGCTGATACAGGAAATAGCAGAATAGTTAGATGGGAATCTCCATCGACAGGTATTATTGTTTGTGGAAGTAATGGAACAGATTCGAATCAATTTTTTAAACCATTTGGATTATTTGTTAATACAAGTGATTCAAACACATTTTATGTTGCAGATACATATAATCATCGTGTTCAAATGTGGTTATCAGGAGCTAATAATGGAACAACAATTGCTGGACGAACAGGTATATCTGGTAGTGATCTTAGTCTACTATATTATCCAACATCCATTCTTGGAGATACAAATCGAAATATATATATATTGAATTTTGGAACTGGTTCTATTGTGAAATGGGCAATAGGGTCAACATCTGGTGTACTCATTGTTGGAACTTTATCAATCGGTGTATCATCAAATCAATTGTATAATCCATACAATTTCAAATTTGATTCAATTGGCTCTTTTATTGTTGCTGATACTAGCAATAATCGTATACAAAATTTCTCCATTGTTTGCAGTAAGTTTCAATTATGAATTAATTTCAAGATTGTTTTCTATATATTATTTTTCAATTTAATAGCAAATATAACGAGTACAACACGACAAACAACGGTGATTAATAATCCAACATCATCATCATCGATAACTAGTCGCACATCGATTTCAAGTAAATAAAAAAACTAAAGCTAAAGATAAAAATTTATTTCTATTTTAGCATCAACAACACATTTCTTCAGTTCGGTCAAAATTTCAAATTCATCGACAATAATCTTACGAACAACAACTGAACGAGTATCATCTATTTCTATTGATTATGGCCCTCGATTGTTATTGATAATATTTTGTTCAATTATTATTTTAATGAATAACTAATGCGAATATATCCAAGTGAAAACTAATTCTTAATTTTGCTTTCATTGTTTATGATTTCTTTGCTTTTTGTTTTACCAATAAATTCAGTTAATCAATTATTTTTAAATAATTTCTGTACATTCGAAGGGATGTGTGGGTGTGGGTAATCAAAGAACAGCCAATCACACTCACACCCTACTTTGCAAATTTTAATGTTTCACAATTCATAACCAAATATGTATAGTGAAAAGATTGTTGTAGTCATACCGTTCAATGACAAAATACACGGATGTGGTCGTCTGATCCCAATTTTTTTCATAAGACTCTAAGGCACTCTCTACTGTTTCCTCTTCGTGCCATATTTTTAATGTAAAATACGTCAGCTTAGGAAAGCAGTTCTTAAGATCATCGATCAGATTTTTCGGTGAGGATACTAATGAGCTTGAGTAATTTTAGATTTGGAATAATACAGATAGTTTATGGAAAAAGTTATCGTCTCCATATGGCAGATCACATTTAAATTCTGATATATTGCGTCTTATTATTTCATTGGGAAGCAGTTCTCTAATGTGCTGAAACAAGGTGTTTGAGTCGGGACACTCGTCCAGTTTGATAGAGAATAGATTATGGGCTTGAGACAGAAGTGTGGAGAAGAACTGGCGTAATTCAGGTGTGTCTGATCTTGAGGAATATGTAAAGTCGATCTTTCGTAGATTTGATACTTTAACTGGATTGTCTTTAAGATTAAATGTTGCAGTTGGCAGACGATAATCATAGTGATAACAAAGCGTATCAGAAGTACTGTTATGCCTGTATGAAGCAAACTCTTTCTTTTTTTCCGACAAATTCAAGTAGTGAAATGGCTGTGGTCGTGGTAAAGTAGAGACTGAAATATCTTCAACGTTTAGAAATTGATTATCAGGCTGAGAACTGAAGCGAATGTCGTATTGAAAACTCTGAAATTTATCAAAATCATAGTTAACATTGCGAGCGAGCAGTGTTAAAATTTTAACATTTGTCTTGAAAGGACGCAAGATGTTTCTAATGTTTGCGGTATCTGTAAGTTTTCCATGTCAGTTATTAATTTATCGACACGGATGATTGAAAATTGAAGTTCTAGAAGATTGGGCATAATTGTGAAGAGTTTTTTCAAATACTTAAAAGAATCAAGCACAATTGATAGGTGTTTGATGTATGGCATTTCGTGAGAGCATCCATCAAAAATGGCAAGATATAATTGAGAAACAACTGAAAGTGCCAATAAGACGTATGTTGAAAAGATATATCGATACTGTACAGATACGGTTCGACTAATCGTTGAAATCGCTGATTGAGATTATCAAAAGCGTAGATAACATCGAATTTATGCAAGTAGCAAAAGATGAGTAAGAACAGGTAGTGATTGCATGTTTTTCATTTTTGAAAATGAGTAGAGAACAGAATACAGCTGTTTTTCACATACTTACTTACACGGGTAAATAGGTTGTGCAATAACTGCAGCAAACATATTCACTAGTGAAGAAACACGATGAATCAGAGCAGAATGTTGTAATATATGAAATTACTACTGACTGTTTTTTTCTTTCTATTTCATTGAATTGTGTAATAACAACGTGCATCATAAAAAGCTTTTTCTTTTCTTTCCTTGCGAGGTAGATAAATGGCTGAAATAAACTCTATTACTACGGATGATTTCTCAACTGCTATAACACGATTTGTATGTATTAGTGATAATCATGATAATTACGATTTTACTCTTCCCAATGGTGATATATTACTACATTCAGGTGATTTTACTCGTAATGGAACCGAAGGCGAAATTGAAACATTTGTAAATTGGTTAAAAAATTTGACTCAATTTCGTTTAAAAATAGTTATCGTTGGTAATCATGAATCGAAACGATTTTATACAAGAAAACGATATAAAAAACTACCAGTCGCTATTGATGAATTAAAAAAAGATAAATCATTAGTTTCAAAATATGGTATTGTCTATCTTCAAGATGAAGCGTTTCAAGATCCAGTAACTGGCTGGAAGTTCTACGGAAGGTAAATATTCTATAAACCGAAATCTTCGATCTATATAGTTTTTGTCCAATAGCGGTTGGTTATCTGAACAATGTAAAGATCCAGATGAAATTCGTCGCCATTGGTTAGAAATACCGATCGATACAGATATTCTTCTCACACATGGTCCACCTTATTCTATTTTGGATGTCACATCCGGTACAGCTTATAATCTTGGTTGCAAAGAATTACTGAAATCAGTAACAACTATAGTTAAACCAAAACTTCATCTTTTTGGTCATGTACATCGAGCATATGGACAATTAAAAAATGAAGATGAATTCGGAAGAACATTGTTTGTTAATGCATCCTTGTGTGATAGTCACTTTCGAACAGCTCATCTGCCTATTGTAGTTGATTTAAAGAAAGATGAATAATTCTAATCAGAGGGTGTGGGTGTAGGTAAACAACAAATCCTCACCGGTCTCACACCTCACCCTCACGGAAAATCTTTGAAATAATTTAATTATATTCTGTGAATTTAACAACTGATCATTTCGATTTTCTTGTCCGTTTTCACCAGCAACAGCTATTCCCTTTTGCATCCATCTATGCATGATTTTATCTAAAATAGATCAAAATTTATAGTCGCATCTATCATTCGCCGAATTCACTCACTTTTCATTGAATAAGAAAGAGGACGATCATCACATTGAGGATGTTGAACACAGATCGTATTCGATTGAATACATGAATTGTTCGTAGAATTGCATCGTAAAAGACGAGAACATGTTGGCCATAGAAAACCACAAATACTAGTATCATCATTAGCACCTACCATATGAAAGCATCCACAAGCACTATTTGTGGAACATTCACCATATTGAGGTGTTTTTTCACATATTTGAGATTTGATTTGAACTATAAAAGTGATAAACTAATACATAAAAAACATATAAAATAGAATAGAAAACAAACCTATAGGACTAAAATATAAAATAAATGGATGTTAATAAAATTAGTGATAAAAATCAATAATTATTTACCTCAAAACAATGAAAACACCATAGCAGTCTATTTTAATTCTACTCATAGTTGATTCTAAACTCAAATAATATCCTCAAGAAATATGCGCTTTTATTTCTAAAATACAGATAATATATTAAGTCGATTTAATCGAAATATAACAGATGCATTTATTCACATATCAATACTTGGAAATTTGATATTACTTCCATTACTTCTAATCTATCCTTCACCTACACACTTTATAAAACATAAATTTGTGTTTTATTTTTCTGTTACATAGACGAAAGAAAGAAAGAAAGAAAGAAAAAGAATCTAATTAAAATCATTTTTTCTCTCGCTTACTGTGCACGTGTTCTATGTCACAAAACATGCATAGAAAAGAATAAATATTTTGCAATTACACATTCTCTGTAAGAAAGAAAAAAGCAGCGTGTTATTAAAGAGACGTAAAACATGTCATCAACTCTCGAAACATTACCGGATGAAATTTTAATGATGATTTTTCAATATTCAGGCGATGTTAGTACCATACTTCGAACATTTCTTGGTTTAAATCGACGTTTAAATAGAATTCTTATCGATAGACGTTTGCATTTATTAGGTAATTACTTATCCATTAATAAACGCGACATATCTTCCAATGATTATTATAATTCTAATGTATTTCATGAAGTATCTCATAAATTATTGATCATAAATCACACAATACATGAAGATGAACTCGATCAATATTTTCAAATGTTAATATCATTTCATATACAACAATTATATAAACAATTAGGAAATGAATATCAATCAAATCTAATAAAATTTCAAATTCAACGTCAATGCCTTACCAATGATGAGATTATTGATGTCGATGATGAGTTAAATGAAATATTTTTGAATTTAAATCATTATCCGATTAATATTACTGATATAAATCAAATCGAATATTTGGTTCATAAAAGAGGTGCACGTCTTCAATGTAATGAATCTGAACAGAGTTCATTTAATTTTACTAAAGCAATTAATTACTTGTTGTCTCAAGATGTTTCTAATAACAATTGTAATAATAAACAATTTTATTATTTGCTAACTCGAATGTTTAAAACATTAATCGTTTCAAATTATGATCTTTTGAATAATCGAGATTTTTATATTTATAGTATTCGTACTGTTTGGTATTTTCTCATTTTTACTGTCTATCGAGCATACAATTATTGTTATTCTAAACTTATTCTACCTATTAATATGGAATGTTATCGAGCAGTAGTTAATTTATTATTATTCTCTATACAATGTAAAAAATTAGAAGTTAACATTGACGATTGGATTCAACAAACTCTTTTCGATATATTAAGAATGATATCTTCTCTTGAAACAATGGATAAATTCGATATCTTTTTGAAAAATACTCAATGGGAAGTATTGAAAATTATAACTGATATGTATATTTCAACAGAAACAATTTCATGGCACGATGATATGAATAACAAATTTCAATCTATTCTTGGTAATTTATTAGATAAAAATCGTGTAGATATAATTCTGTTTATCTATCGTCATATTGATCATATACGATATTTTTTCAATCAACTAAGTAATTGTCGTAATTTCGTTGATATAATGACAAGAAATCAATACAATCGACAAGTATTTGAAATACTTATTGATGAAAAACCATTAGAAACTTGGGTTCAAAGTAAAGAATTAGCATTTGTATTATTAGAAAAGAAAGAACGAAAATTCTTGGAAAAAATATTAAAATTATCACCATTTCTTGTCCATGAAATAGATGAAAATGGAAATAATTTATTACTTCATATCTGTTTAAAAGTTCGTGGTTGTCGACATCGAATAGTAAAATTTCTAATTACAATGAAATCTGATCTTCAACAAAAGAATTTTAATGGTGAAAACTTTTTTGATGCAATTCAATTGAAACGAAATAGAGATCTCCTAGAAAAAATTGATTTAGGAGAAATTATTATACTTAATGATCAACAGGAAAACAAAAGAAACATTAAATTTATATACAATTGAAATCATTTGTAATATAAAAATATTTTTCAGAGTTAGGTGTGAGTATCATTTCTGCTGTACCCACACGCAAGATGAAAAGTTCTACTGTAATTCGATTCATTTAACATCTATATTATAATATACAAAGTTTCAGTTCGGGAACTTTAATCTGATTGATCACAGAACGGAAAAAATATATGTACATACATATACGTCTATGACTAGCTGACGATGAACATCTGTCTACATTGTCCTACTATTCTATATTATTATTATTATTATCTGCCCATTCATTAATATAAAATAAAAGAATAAGACAAAATAGAAAAATAAAATAAAACAAAAAGAAAGAATAAGACATAATAAAATTAAAAAATCTATACTAAAATTTACAAGTTTTCTTCTGAAACTGTTTTTCTTATCCAGGCTTTTTACATGTATGCCACACCTCACACTTGAACTTAAGCATTCAACTATTCATCTGCAAGAAGATGACAGTAGGGAGGGGGAGTGAACAGGGGGCATGGGTAAGCGTAGAGCACAGGGGACATGGGTGAGCGTAGAGCACAGGGAGAATATGAGCAAGGGGAACAGGAGTAACTGAGTAAGCAGGATAAAAGTAGCGATGAAGGGAAGAGAGATACAGAAAGAGAATAGTTTAATACTTGAAGTGAACGATTGAATTCAACTTTCAAGTTTGACACTACTCACTTTTTATTGAGTATTTTTTACCTATAATATGAAATCTTATCTCTTCACAGGGGCCTCTAATGTACCAATAGTTTATAGCAAATGTAATTGTGGATCATCATGGACATGTACACAATCATCACAAGGTATGATGACGGGTTGTTATCCACTTGAATCTCTTCTTCAAACAACACTTCGATGTTTTTATAATCAAAGCTGTATTGATTCGACACAGAAATTTACACAACTGAATATTTCATCTCTTAAAATAAGTCAATATCGAATGAGTACAACTATTCAATCAATTTTAAATAATCTAATGGTTGCAGAATATATAATTAATAAATCTTATGAAAACTATTTTAATCAATGTGCACTATCATCATGTTCATATAATTATATGAAAAATTATCAAGTTACTGAAGGAATAATAAATATCATTAGTCTCTATAGCGGATTAGTAATTCTTACTCGTTGTTTATCTGTGGTACTCATTAAATTGTGTTCATATAAATCAAATAGAATTACAATAGAAATTACAGATCAAAATACATAGTTGACTAAAGTAACGGTATTTCTTTATTCCAAACAAATTCTGGGAATATATATATTGTCCGTAATAAAGCTTTAAATGTTGTATAAATATTATCTAATAAATTTATCTATTATCATTTTAGAAATTAATTTTAAAGAATATAATATTAAATCAATGATTATAGTTTTGTAATTCGATACATATTCAATGAAAACAGATTTTACGTTGAGACATACTATAAAATACGATATAAGTGATAAAAAATAGAATTTAACTAACAGAACTATCAAATCTTTGATTTTTTTCCTTTGAATCGGACGGCAGTAGTAAATAGCTATTTGTTCTAACAGAAAAACTATGCCTTCTTGAGGGTGTGGGTGGAGGCCAACAACATTATGTATGCAAGCATTAACAACATCAATACAACTCAAATAAAGTATTTCTCTACATTTAATTTAGTGAAAAATTGCCAAATTATACCTCATTGTGTAAGATTATAATCGATTGAAATCTTTCAAATCAACGATCATTCGATTTTTAATCAAAAAATAACCTTCTTAATCATTAAAAATATAGTAAATCAATTTTATATGATTTTAATCAAAATTATATTTGATTTTTGAAAAAATAATTTAATAAGAAAATAAAACACATGATCTTTAGTTTTAACAAATATTGAAAATAAATATTTCACTAATCAGTAATGATTTCAATATGTAACTAAGAAAAATTCTCCTTATTAGTTATTTAAAATAGGTGAAAACATATAAGGTGTGTATTAGTTCTGTTTCTTCTTTTACATAAATACATTAATAGGAAGAAATGTTTTTACAAATTTCTTATCTTCCTTCTGACAAGTAATTAGAAATAAACGAGGTCTGTATAGATTTTATAATATTTATTCTAGACAGTCATGTATATATCAAAATAAAATTTTGTTTTTTGAAATCTTACTACTTCATTAAAAGTGCGCAAATAAAAACAAACAAATCTCAGCTAGAGTATTTAAACTATAATTTTTTGTAAATATTTCATTTTTTTACTACATAGATGATGTTGATTGTGCGATCGCTTATTATCTTATTAGTAGGTTTTAGTACTATTTTACAAGGTGTTCATTTTCGTGGTGGTACAATAACATGGTACATAATATATATATCGTTTTCTACTAATAGATTTTTTTATTATTCTATTGTATAGGCGTCCTCTGAATAATACTCCATCCGGTAGTACAGTTGCCGTTCAAATACGTGAACGATATTCATGGAATCGTATAACGTATCCCTGTGATGATGCGACCATAGCTTTACATGGTACTCTCGGAGGTGGCACTTATGTCACTTATGTATCTGGTACAAGTGGTTTTTGGACTAATATGAATACAGCAATAAACTGTACGGATTATAGTGTTGCACTTATTGTTAGTTCTGGTGAACATTATGAAACGCAAACATTTCCATTAAATATCTTTTTTAGTATTGGTTTTGTAAATGGTAATTGGCTTACAAATCTTGTTGTTGGTGGTAACAATCAAGGATGGAGTGTTGTCTGTCGAGTCAACACTGTTATTAGACCCGATGGTTACATAAATTCTAGTCCTATCGCTGTCAGTCTTCCTATTGTTTACAAAGAAATTAATATTCAACAAGTACATGTTGTTCAAATGTCTGACTTTGATGGAACTGATACACTGCGATGCCGATGGGCAAATAAATCAGGTAATTTTAACGGTGCTGATGAATGTGATGGTGTATGTTATGGTATTCCTGGTGCTAGTCTTATTGAGGATAATTGCACACTTGTGTTTACCCTTACAAATGCTGGAGTGTATG